CTAGATTCATACTTCAAACATTCCATGTTCCGATTATTAATGGATGTCTGCATCTGTTTTTTCTCAATTTGAGTGGTGCCACATCAGCAAATGGAGGTCTTAAAAGCTTTACCTTATCCATATGAGTAAGGCTGGGTTTACTCTGATGATGCAGCTCTTTCCCAGTCCTATTCTGAGAGCCTTCTAACCTATCCGGACTATTCATAAAGTTGCGCGGTAATGTATCCGACAGTGTTTCTTTGTATTCATAAGGTTTTTCCTAGTCAATTCTTTGAGAAGTGGACGGCCTCTTCCTTCTTCCTAGTCTGTCTCAGTCTGTAAGATGGGCTGATACTTGTGCACCATGTGCATCCCGCTGGGTTTGAAACACCAGTAGCTCAGCCTCAAAACTCACATCAACACGTCACCACGGTAGGACAAACTGCCAGACAAGTTTGTCTCCCTGTTGGAAACTTCTCCTACCACCCTTACCTGGGTCCCTGCGGCTGACTGCTCCTCTGTCCCGGTTCCAGGGCCTTTTAATCCCTTTTCTCCTGCTCTCCCGTCCCGCTGCTTTCTGCGTGCCTGGGTTCCCTCTCCTCACCTGGATCCCCGCGGCTGACATACTTAGAGAACACTTAAATAAAATTTTAGTAATGTTTCCATTTCTCAGGAAAGAGTTATAATTTCTTCTGTCTCTTGTTAGTAATGATTTAACTTGGTCTCTTACTGTTAATGACTGTTGTAACTACTGCCTAAGGAACTGCTGATACTTTCTACAGGAAAAGTTGTCTTGGGCCCAATACCTTAAAATTTTAATAAAAAGTCATGAGCCCTATCTGTGGCTCTAAGAAAGCAGTTAACTCTTAATCTTGAGGTAGATTACAAAAAAAAAAAACACCCTAAACTCAATGCCATCAAGTTGATTCTGACTCATAGCTTCCCCCTGCCTGGGTTTCCAAGGCTGTAAATCTTTATGGATGCAGACTGCCTCATCTTTCTTCCATGGAACGGTTAATGGTTTAGAACCACCAACCTTCTAGTTAACTCCCAATTGCCTTAACCAGAGCTCCTTTCAGTTTAGAGGGGGGAAAATACTTTTAGGTGTTTATTATCCATAAAATCCAAATAAGGACCTAAAGCCAATTTCACTTTTATTTTCAATAGTATAGATTGCATTAAACCATTTATTCTCTTGCTCTAGTCAAATTACCATTTCTTATAGTAACAAATTACAAAAACTGTGTAAGACTAATCATAGCAGTATTTGAAGTTGTGTTTCTAAGCTGATAATGTAAGGCAGAGGAAGGTAAACTTTTTCAAGGAGCCAGATGTTAAATATTTTATGTTTTGTAGGCCATACAGTTTCTTACCTTAAAATGGCTAAAGGAATCAAAAAACCAAAACTGCTCCAATAAATTGATTCCAATTCATAGTGACTCTACAGACAGAGCAGAACTGCCCCATAGGGTTTTCTAGGCTGTAATCTTTACAGGAGCAGATTTCCAGGTCTTTTTCCCCTCAGAGCCACTGGTGGGTTCAAATCATGCCCTTTTGGTTGGCAGCCAAGTGCTTAATCAATATGCCACCAAGGCTCCTTGAAAATAGACTAGTAGGGACTAAAAACTTATTTTTATGTTTTCACTTAGCTTATAAGATAATTAAACAACAAATTCAAATTGATGATATGTCAAACTTACCGTAGGGATAATGGGCTTCCTTTGCTCATGGCTGACAATGGGTTATATGACCTTTCCTTTTTAATGGCAGGGAAGATGAAATAAAATTAAAAAAATTCTTTATATTTACACATAAATTTGGTTACCTTGTAGACAGAACTGCCTCCAATTATCCAAACCATTTCCACTTTATTTCCTATTTCTGGTTGCTCAATAAGTTTTAAGGCATCATCCAGACTTTTGGC